AACATGAGGGTTCAGCCAAGATTCTTGTATACAAATCAGACAAGTATGAACGTGAATCCGAGAACGGAGAATAAATGATAAATCCGAGATTTTCGTGAAAAATGAACGTGTTTGTACTCAGTAGTGATGGAACGGACATTTTTGACGAAGGGGTGCAGTTAAGAGCAACTTGCCATCCGGCCCGGTTGTGATTTTTGTGTGAATTCCGAAATCCGAGAGAAATGAGTGTGTTTGAATCAAATTGTGATGTGAATCCGTTAGGGTGTTTGAGTAGAAGTATTTCCGATCTAGTATATCGACGAACAAATGCCATAATAATGACAAAAGAAACCTTAAAATTTGATGAGATGTGAGAACACGAGATTGTAGCGCAGCAGGTCATGCGGAACTCGTCGGGCTTTTTTTCATACCAGTAAACCAAGCCGAGGTTGTCTCATTCACCGTCTTGAAATGTTTGTTGGTTTTCAGATGGCATCTTTCCTGAGATTCTCCATCGTTCAAAGTTTATCCGATAGTGGTTTGATGGGATATAACACTGTAAATCGCTTCTCTTGGCTTTAGAGCTCTGAGTTGCACTTGGCTGATTCAACTTGGCAAACATGTTCTGATTGATAGGCTATCGAACCTTTTGAAGTCAAGTGACACTGTCTTCCATTGTTGTCATCAGTATATCTTGCTCGCAGTGATTATCCAATCAGTGAACAGTGTCATGTTCGCGTCACACTAGATGGAACGCCATTGGTTGAGTGCGACATTTCAGTTTGTTTGGTCAATGGCGGTCCTGAACATGGGTCAACGACCAAGTGAGTAGGCATCAGTAGTTGCGATATATTGACGGGGCACCATTGCATGATCAGAAACTACGTTATTACACCTACGGTTGGTTTGGGTTTTCGAATAAGTGGGAAGATATTGAAAAATGTGACTTCTCAGATGTGCAAAAACGTAAGAGACGGAATGCAGTGCATTCTCGGGTTTCATGAATGATTCTGTTGTAAAGAGATATTCAAAGAAGTATGCATTTTACCATTGTGAAACATTTTGGAGGAACGTTTCATCCCATATTTTTTATAGACTTCAATTTTATAGTTTCCAATAATAAGAATTAAACACTGAATTGCTAAAAGCCAATGACGCTTGTTGATAACACAGAAATCTGGAGTCCTTATTTAGATGAGCTGTGAATCATCTGATTTCAAATATTTTTTCTGTTAATTCAGACCAAAGGATTTCAGCCGAAAAGTGTCGCGAACAATCCATTGAGCTGCTGTTTCCTCTGGCCTTATCTATTTTTGCGTAGACATGTGCAGATATCAATATCATAATGATAATTAACCTTCCTTAATGTGTTTGTCAAATTATAAGTCAAATTAAAAACGATAATTCATCAATCAAGTGATTGATGAATTATGATTTGATACACAACCGAACGATAGTTTTTCAATGTTTCCATGGTTAAAACATCCGACATGCAATAAACACATTACTGCACCCTTGAATATCACCGATGTTAAATTGGAAGGGGAAGTATAACGAGGTGTGCCTGGAGCACACAGGCGTAGCGCGTGCAGTTGTTGATTAAACCGTATTTTTTTCATTTTCCCAGAAGAAGAAGTTTTCAAGGGAAACTAACTCCAAAGTACATGAAAGAATTCAACGGTGGATACATAACTCAAAAGAAAAGTTTCAAGAGGGCAAAAAAAACGTGGTACCGGACACCCAGGAACCAGCCCCTGTTGATATGGACGAATAACTCTAATAACGACTATAAAATCGTGTTTTGATTATACATAGGGACGGTTTGAGTTATATTTATATCACGGTCGATGCATTAATAACATCGAATCGAATCAAATCGAATTTTTGGTTTACGTATTGTTAAGGCTACGGTAGCATAAGAGATCTATTTTTTAAGGGGTATCAGTAGTCTTAGAATTTGTATCCACGGAAAGATTCCTTTTTATAACGAGTACGGCTCTTGCCCGGAAATTCGGAAATAATTCTGCACATCTTTCCGTGAAATGTTTGTATTAGGTGTGAACCTTGTAGAAAATAGGATATAGTAGTCCCAGTGGAGTACCTCAGAGTCCCATTAGGGTCCATTAGAGTCCCATTAGAGTCCCACATCGGGAGGTCCCATTAGGCACCCAATCAGGGTGCGTTGGGACACTAATAGGACTCTAATGAGACTCTAAAAGGACGATGGTGCTGACATGGCATTTCTATGATAAAAAATCGATTAAGGATTACTTAGGACATTCTAATCGCGACTAAGAGAAAACGGTGTGATATTTTAAACAAACCTCGGCGTGATTATCGTCATCATCGTCATCATCAAATTCCCTGTCTGAAGGTCCAGATAAACCAAATTCATCATCCATGTACTCCGGCGGCTGTGCAGGGACCAAGGCTGATGAAGCAAATTTGACTTGCTTCGTTCGAAGCTTTCTCGGTTCTGTGTCCGTATCTTCATCTGAATCTTGCTCGTCGGAAAGTTCAATATCTCTAGGTTCTTCGGTCATTTCTTCATATTCTGAATGTAAATCTCCATCCAGTTTCATCTTATAATTTCTATCTTCATAAAAATTAGCGTCAACTTCGATAGCCATTGCATTATTGTCTTAATGATTATCACGGGGTGACATTTAGTGCTACCTACATGTATTTGATGACTCTAATGAGCTTTTTCGATCCGTTATTGTTTTTTCTGCAATAAATTGGACACCAAGCGATCGGAATGACCTCTCGCTTCCATCGTAACATTTTAGTTTGCGTATGTCATCATCCGGATCACACAAAATCATTGGCGTCATGTTTGAACCCGCTCCAAGGTCACTATCAACGGTTATTGAAAAGTTGATGTGTTCAAACCAGTTCAGTTTAGTTCAGTTTTCACAGGACGAACATGACTCTTGTTGTCGGTGGATGGGAGTAGCTTCCAACACTGCGTACAATTGACCAGGTGTTTGTGGTCCTCTCAATTTAGCCCCGTTGCCAGAACGTTGACTCCTTGGGGTTATTCTGAAAGTGAGGAAAGAAAGCAAGGATATCTCCTCGCCTCGTTGGTTAGAGCCCTCAAGTACACATGCGTTCGTATACACAGATCACATGTGACAGGACATTCAGTTTTAGAATATTTCCAACAGTCAAGCCCGAGTTTGTAACATTTTCAAAGCTTCCGGCTAAAGTAGAATTTATTCCTTATGTTCCCACTCTAAATAATAACTTCGGGGAACGTTGCTGAGCAACATGCGTCCAGGGTCTCCTTGAAGGCGTTAACATTGGTGCAGTTGACCACTTCTGCGGGTAACCTGTTCCCCAAAGGTATGACCCTGTGTGCGAAGAAGTTGGTCCGTACTTCCAACCTGGTGTGGTTCTGCTGAATTTTATAGCTATTACCTATCGTGGTTTGACTACTTCCCATCTTTATTCTAGGATGGTATCAGAATAGTTGGGTACCCAGGCTTTGTTGATGCCTCTTTTTTCGTTTCTTCTGTTTTTAGCTTGCCGTAGCACCTAGTGGTGGTTGCTGGAAGCGGTGTTTTGTGTCTGGAAAGTGAGGCCTTCATCATTACATGATCACTTTTGCTCTGGGATACCTCAGGCCCCAATTCACTAATATCCTTGTGGCACTTTGTGATCAATAGATCTAGTAGTGGGGGCGATTGGCCCCCTCAGTGTTTTGTTGGCATCATATCGTATTGAATCAACCCGGGTAGCTCCAACCATTGTAGGAATGTTTCATCCGTGGATCCTCATGCATAAAAGCATACATTTTACCATTCTTAAACATTTGGAGGATGTCAATCATTTTATATTTTTCATAGGACTCCACCAGTTTACGGCGATGGCAACTACTGTGCACGCTATTACTGGTGTGGAAAAAGTTCTCCCCATTTCCCCTGGATGTTTCAAGCATTTGTATACTAAATCTGTGGTTCCCTTGCCTGCAGTTCAGGTCCCACAACAGCTGTTGTTTTGATTGTGCCCTACGACATAGGGTCCGACGGGCTGACTGGTTGTTTTCCCCGGGTGTTGTGGCTACAATGGTATCTTCGAGGTTCCACGGGACACCTTAGTTAAAATGTTTGACATCCTTGCAGGTTAGTACGAAGTCCAGCCTGCTACCCTCGGTCCTTGGGACTGGTTCCTCGTCTACATTACGAATCTCTTTTGGGCGACCTAACATGGCTGCCCAGCTCCTGACTTTTTGGAGTACCATCTGCGTCTTTGTTCACAAGTTGATCGCAGTTCACCTGATTGTGTGTCCCGTTGCCTCGGCCCACATTTCCGCTGAAGGTTCTTCGTGATTCTGATCCCTTCGCTCCTTTACTTTAGGGGCATTCGGAGCTCTTAGTCTGTTCTCTACTTCTTTCGGCTCTGATGTGCCTGTCGGTACGTTCGGAGTAAACCTGCTTAGTGGTATCATCGCCTGCTCCTTCAAAGATCGTTTCTCCGTTATTATCTTGGTTTTCGGTATTTTTACCTCAAGTCGTCTGGCCTCCGTTCTATCCTTCTTATTGGAGCCGTCGTTTGCTGTCGTACGTGACCCTAAGTACGGCGGACTATTTGGCGTGATGCTAATTCGGCCGTCGGTTTGTTCTTTGATTTTACCCGCTCTAAATAACACGTGATCCCTCCAATACATGGTGGGGAACATTATCGTTATTAGCTGCCACCGCAAATTTTGCGTAACTCACCAAAGTCCCACGCGGTGGAACTTTACTATAGGGACTGTTGTGGGCAACCCGGACATTCTGATTAATAATATTAATAAGAGTGTATATTTCACGAAGCCCTTGAGGTATGCACAAAGCATGCACAAAGGTTATCTCCCTTAAGTGTCGACCATGCCACCCGTTAATTCCAAAACGACTTGTTCTGGCTCGACCGTAGCCCGAGTGTGATCGACTATTCTACGATCATTCTGTATAGCGTCAATGAGACCGTTGAGTAACGCGTAGCGAAATGCGAACCCCGAAGTCAGAACGATACTGATCCGCAATGCGTACGGTACTCAACAATGCGACTCAGTCGCTATACAGCCAAAAAGGTGAGTTCAAACAAATGGGTAGAGACCTGTTAGGTCAAGCAAGGGATTCCGTTCACTTAACGTGAACAGCCAAGATTAATTCGAACAAATCAACAATGATCTGTTTGCCACGGGGAGAAATTCTGTTCACCAAACAGCCAGTGATCAAAGTCAGATATGCACTCGCAAAGAGCAAGACAACGAATCGGGCCACAGGGCCAACGACGGAGCATATAGGGGCTGGGGCGGTTATGGACCGGGGCAATGACACACACCAAAGCCACGTTAGTGCACAGGACAAGCACATAGGTGGGATCGATAGATAGACACACAAGGTCATTGGACACGAGAATCCGACATCAAAAAACCACAGATAGTGACTAACACGAGGGATCACGCGGTGATCAAGGTCAAATCAAGAGTGACTAAAGAGAACGTATTCACACAGGATCGGAAAGGTGTAATTGGGAGGGGGAACAACAGTGGGCTTGCCTTGGACCACGAAGAGGGATTTTCTTCACTCTGTGGTTTCTACACCACACTTGTTTGATTTTACGGTTGTTGACGACTGGTTTGAGGCAGTTGTGCAGCAGCAGACGCCTACTGCACTCTAGCCCCCGGAGTATCACACTCTTGATCCCCACCTCGAGTTGCCTGACTCTTTCCTTTAGTGCTGACAACTCCACTAAACACGTATCATCAACCACTTTCCCGTTCAGCCTGTTTGGTAATTTAGTTGCGTGGACCTCCTTGGGATGCTCTTCACCTTTCCACGCGCTATTTCTTGCATGCTTGGCCGCAGCATCGTTAGCGCAGAGTCCTTTTCCAAGGGGTTTCTAGGGGCTTCAGCAATCAAGAATGACCACTCAACTGTTTTGGATAGGTTGAAGTCTGCTGTGAGGTTCCTAGTACCAAATGTACGTATAGTGGATTGTTTGTTACAGTGAAGTTGAGTTCTTGAGTTGGGAGCCTAGCTCAAGTGAAGGATGGAGAAATGACGCTCACTTCCGTACCGGTCTCCACGAGGAACTACACAACACTACTGGAGTCCCTAACGTCGAAAAGGCGGCTCCTAGTTCGAGTGCCAAAGGATGACGCCGTAATCAGCCGTTGGCTTAGTATTTCCCCGAAATGGATTGACCCATCCACGAGCATGAGTAAATGTATTTGGCAACATCCTTACCGAAACATGCATGATACTAACAGAACAGTTTTCTGTTGTTGGGTGACATAGATCTTCGGCGGTTTCTCAATTACTGTTTCGCACTGAAGCGTGTGCCTCTGGACCTTCTATCTATGCTTATGTCGTTTAGATTCTCAATAAAGGCCTGGAAGAGGCTGTCGGCAGAAGTGGCTGGAGGGACCACGGTAGCGACCGAAGTGGCCGTGGGTTGACGGTATTACATAGCACGATCTGCATAAGCGGTAAACGCTCTATGCGTATTTCTTGGGCTGGCGAACGAAGGAACTGAACTTCCTGTGGTACCTTCTGTGACCACAGTTTCCTTACGAAAGCATCAGCAAGCGGAGTGCTACCCATTTGTTGCACGGTCAGCGCGCAGCATCCAAACGCGGCTATATTCAAAAAATTCAAGGTCACTTGATCGATCCCCACTGTTCAAGACATGAAGAAGTCCCAACTGGAGACCACTGTCGCTCAAAAATTATTTGGCTTAATAAAGACCCTAAACATAACGCCGGTTTCAGTACGGCAGCCGACAACCAAAAACATTAAACGGAAATTTGTTTAACTTAAAAAAATAAAAGAATTATTGGTTATTTTAAATGATCGACTTCACGGGAGGGAAATGTACCAGTACTAAATCTATAAGAGCTGCACCTTCCATATAACTGTTAAAAGCTATTCTAAATACTATTCTCCGACTTTCAGCCAAAGGCCATC